GTCTAGTTGTATAAACCAGAGGGTAGTAACCTGTACCTCTGTCATACGTTCAGTTACTTACACACCACAAATTGTCATACGTTCAGTTACTTACACACCACAAATTGTCATACGTTCAGTTACTTACACACCACAAATTGTTGTGTGTCGCTAACCTTTGTAATAATTGTGACAGGTGGCATTGCCATTATTACTAGTAAGGGTGGTTGAGTTTTGGTGCGCGATATTTCAACCACTTTTATGAGGCGCGATGATGCACGCACCAGGGCACAATTTCGTGAGTGCGGTGGAGCGCGGGCGCGATCGCGCCCCTTAAAAATGAAAGCCCGTAAAAATTAAACTGATTGTGATAGACATAACAAGTCACAGTAGTGATGGCTGCTATCACTATCACATAACCCACATCTAGCTGCTAAGGATTTACCCAAGAGGTCAAAAACTGTTTTGGTGTAAGATGTGCAAAGTGTACCTATATGCGTTGGACTTCCGGATGAGAACTGTTTTAGTAAATGGCACACAAAGGCAAATTACTGGGAATAATGAACTCGGATTGAAATTATGAATGTGAACATTAGTCTGTTTTTCACTAGAGTTGTGAACATTGGTCGAATGGTTTTCACCACCGATACCTGCAACCGGTTCAAAATTTTTATCTCCAATATTTGTTCAAAAAGTTCATAAAGTTGAGGAAAAATAAAAATACATTTTTTTGAATTAAAATATGCCAAGGCTTATTATTTTATGAAAAATATATATCTTGAAAATTGAAAATAACTTTTAGATGATGGATTGGGTGAGTATGCTTGAAATAATTGAATTCTAAAAAATGCAAGCTTTTGAAAAAAAAATCAGGTCAGGGATGTTCCCACGCCGGGTGGCGCCGGGCGGTGCCGCCCGTTACTTTTGATTTCCAACCGGCACTCAAAAAAAATTGCCGTTATCCACCCGGAACAAAATTACATCAAATAGGACATCATCATTTACGAATGGTCCATTGAGTGAATTATTGTAGAAATCATTCAACAACAAAGTGCTAAATTGCTGTTTGAGCATTTTGTTTTAATAAAATGTACTAACTTATGTCACATGCCGCAATTATTAGCAATCATTCATAAAGCCTAGGACACACTGCGCGATTTTCTACGCTGGCCGCTTGCGATCGATATTGTACATGCTAACACGGCCAGCGTACAAAACCTGGGGGGGGGGGTTCGATGTCGGATTACCCGGCACTCAACATTTTCTGGGAACATCCCTGCAGGTATATGGCTAATATAGATTAACGCTGTCAGGGTTGAAAGGGTTAACCAGCCGCCATACTGGGTAGAATAAATCAAGGACAAGGGCATATAAGTAAGAACCAGTTCAATACTAAACTTCCAGTATTCATTCATCCACTTTTACGTTCCGTCACGCATGCCTACGCCGTCGTCAGTGTCGCCACCTGGCAACCACGATTACAATTACTATGAATCGCCGTAGCGGTGAGCAAATCACTCAAACCAGCTGGCGGGTGTGTGCAGTTTCACGCGCTTGCTAACCCTACACGCTAGCATGGCTGAGCGAGAGAGCAGGACGATCCTCATCGGCATCATCAACTTGTGTGTTGCAGATGAGCATTTGACCGGCATTTACAGGTGATTATAGGCGAAATAGAGTAGAGAAACATTAAGACTTTGGTAGGCCTATATAGTAAATACATTTCGTGTTTATTTACCTTTTTTTTATTGAGACGTTCCAAGTGCTTGTGGTTACAGGTGCCCATGCGCGAGTTAGGCTGTTACTGTATAACCAACCCTAACGGTAGTCGGAGTTTCCTCTGACCAACGCCCACACCAAATCTACCAAAATCGTCGGTGTGGGCATTGGTCAGAGGAAACTCGGACTAACCTAACGGCTAATCCCAATAAGTGAATAACAGTTAGAGTCAGCTAGCCCATTGTGGTCTACTCTTGTTGGGTTACATTATTGTATGATTTGTATCTAAGTGTACGTATGTGAGGAAAATAGCAAGTAGTTTGAAATTATGAATCATAGATGCATCAGTACTGAGGAGGCACTAGCACAGATTGTAGCTAATGAGGACTTGAATGCCGATAATTATGGAGATTTTAGTGACTTTTCCAGCGAGGAGGACTCTCAAGTTATCGATGGTAATGATAGTGCCTACAGTGCACCTATAGTACGTGACAATGTCAATGATACTGAGGATGGTGATGATTCTCCCCCTGCACCAAAGAGGGGGAGAGGTGACGGTGATGGTGTTCATCAGAGAGCCACTCCAGCTACTCAGAGAGGAGATCAAGAAAATGTTTCGCCTGTGTCAAACTAAAATACTAATACCAGGCTTTCAGATACCAGGACTACTATACAGGACACCATAGGGGGTCTTTTCACGCTCCATAATCACACCCTTAAGAGGCATGATGGAGAGCTCCACTAAAAAATCACACCCTTAAGAGGCATGATGGAGAGCTCCACTAAAAAATCACACCCTTAAG